AATTGTACATAAGTGTATTTTGGTCATTTCATTAAAAAAAACATGCAAATTGGATCATTGTGCTAGAAATAGTTGTGTGAAATAGTTGAAAATCATTGAAAAGAGCTTGAATTTCTCTCTCAAAAGGTTGTACAAACTCTGAAATGAATTAATAACATTCGACTATTTCTGCCACAACACCATGGTTATAGTTAGCGTTACTACTTCTGGTTTTCTATGTCAGTGCTGTGCAGAATTCAAATGCTTCTCACTGGATCTCGCAGCGCTGTGCAGTAACAGTGTTGTGAGATCAACACTGGTTCCCGAGTAAACCTGTTCTGAGCTCAGACAAGGTTGCTTGTGCTGCACTCAATTATTGATCCAAGCTGAAAAATGGTCCACGCTGCACAGCTCAAACGAGTAGCACTGTTATGTTACGCTTTTTTTTTGTTTGCCGTTTGATGTTTCTCATTTGAGTTAGACCATGCGGTGGTCGCACCAGTGCGACCGCTCAAAAAATGTAGTTGCACCAGCAGAAGAAATGGTAGCAAAATGCGACCATTTGGTCGCAATCTGGAGCCCTACATTTGTTGCTATACCTTATGAGTTGGACCATGCGGTGGTCGCACCAGTGCGACTGCTCAAAACATTTATTTGCACCGGCAGAAAAAATGGTTGCAGTCTGGAGCCCTACATTTGTTGCTGGTATGTATTCCATGTCTACTAACAACTATTCTACAAGAACACGGTGTTTAATAAATATGTAATAGTGTCTATTCAATTAATACTAGAACCCTGAACATAAATAAGTAACTATGTGCTATTACGTAATGAAAAAAACATTCTCTATTGGAATACGTACTAGTAGTACATTACATTGTAATACCATGAACTATATTATATACTGTAATATAGTGAAACTAAACAATTATGATTATTCATGTTAGTCACTATTGGATAACTTTTATTCATTACCCTAAAACTACTAATGCTGCTAACAACAAAATTAGGTATTAGTTACTTCAAGCAATACATGTTAATATGGCTTGCCACAAGTACATACAGGCCTAGATCTAAACAGAGCAGCGTCTGGTAACCGTGCACGAACCCATGCACCCGTCGCTGAAACCTGCTTATGACTATCTATCGACTCTTTATTAAACCGAGTCAATGCTAATGATAATAAATTTGAAGCCAGTTCGTGCAAGTGAATTAGCGCGTTACTGCATAGAACCCAGCCAAATGCGCGGCGCACAGTTGCGCCTTCTCGCCGCTTGAGAGCGGTTGCTTAACGGGACAGCAGGCCGAAACCGGAGCGCCACTCACCGATGTGGTTATCTTCGATGTGAACGATGAGCTCGCCCAGGGACTCAAAATGCAGCCCGCAACCGCCAAACCGGCAAACGTTGGAGAAGAAGGAGGCAGCCGCGACGCCCGTCATAATGGATGTGTTGGCAGAGGTCCGTGAGCTTGCAGACCGGCGAAGGCAGAGGCTGTGCGGGATGGGGGTGATCAAATAGCCGGCAGCTAGTTGCAGCAGCAGCGGCGGTGGTGATTGCAGCTGGAGCTGTTCAGACGGCTGGCAGCCAATGGGAGGGGGATGGGGGCCAAAGCAGCATGACGGAGGACCAGCAGGAGGAGGAGGAGGAGGAGGGGCTGGCAAAACAAACATGCTGCTGTTCACCTGAGCGGAGAAAGGCGAGGAGTGCTTGACTGAGAAGGGCCACATAAGCAACTGTATTATTGATTATTTCAGTGGATCTTTTGCTACCCTTCCAGCTAGGCTTTAAAAGCATAAGGTTTAGCCTATTGGTCCAACTGCCTGGGAGTGCAGAAACTCTAATCCCAATTAACTTTGTATCTAATAAACTAAAATGATCATTATTTACACATATACTGGCTGTGTGACTCTTTCAAGTGCTCATAAACCAAGCACTTTTGTAAAAAAAAAAATAATAAAAAATAATCATACTATACAATAGTAAAGCATTGGTCTTTTTATTTATTTCTTTTTATTTTTTTATGTGTGTAAATTTAATTTACCGTGGAGTACATTGTTGTAATGACAGATTAAAAAATGTAAAATATGCAATTAAATAATTAATATTTTAATTTAACTGTAAAAGACCATCAAAAATAAACCCGTTCATTGTTTAATGGTAAGTTCCCTTAATGGTGAAAAACTGTAACTGCTATGACCCAATTAGTATTTACCACAGCTTGTGGAAAAGTTTATTGTGATGCATTTTGATTAATCATGTGTCTTTCTCCTTTCTCTTGTTATTATGATGGTCATCAGTAAAGGTAGGCTATAGAACTGATTTTACTGGCAGCATGGACTTGATAATTTAACACATAAAAATGCAAAAGCAACAGGATTTTCTTTTACAGTGTAGTGATTGTAATTCCTGTATAAGTACATTTATGCCACCTCTGTGCAGCATTAAACGGTGTGTAAATGCATTTTTCATTATATATATGCATGTGTGTGTGTGTGTGTGTGTGTGTGTGTTGAGCTTTCTGTACCACTTTTGCAGCATAAGTCTCAGATCTAATGATTTCAGATCTGTTTCTTATAAATGACCACCATCTCGACTCTTTCAGTACATTCTTTTCAGTTGTAATAAAGAATGTACAATTACAGCAAATATTTGAATCCAACTACACAATAGCGGAATGTCATGTGACTATGTCCAATGTCTGTGTATTAGAATATTAGACCTACTGGAATTTTTTTACTAAAGACATTAAATGTTGACCTCCCACCTCTTTAAAACTTTGACAAGACTGGGAATCTGTCAGGTGTGACACAAGCATCCATGTAAGGGGTTGCGTTCACAAAGAGCAGGAGGAATGTCCCTTTGATTAGCCTGTGACAGTGACCATGTGCTGACCATCACTTGTTAATCAACCGTTAAATCTCCCTGTTATAAATGTTCTCTGCCGTTGGCCTATGCAAATAAGTGAGAGACTAAATTACCAAATATTTTCCATGGCACTGTTTTTAAACAAATAGACTTGCATAAACATTTACTCCTGAAATACAATATTTTCTCTTCAGCTTCATAATTTTGTGCGAATACAGTACATATACGAACAACTCCCAAGACTCAAATTGTACTGAAAAGCTCATAAACCTACAGACAGCTTTTTGGGACATACCATATAATGTTATAATGTAAAGCCAGCCAGATGTTAGTAAATGCAACCATCTGCCTCAAACAAGATAGACCTAAGCAGCCAATGCCAGATGCTAGAAACTGTGAGGAGGTCATGCCAGGTCAAACAACATGACTGAACAATATCAAAGGGTTAAGGACTTATTTAGTTCCAAATGCTTGATTAATCCAATATCACTCATGTGCAATAAATCTTTGAGACTTTTAAAGATCTACCTTGAGACTGAAGTATTACAAAGGATGTGAAAAATTACAGACATGTGACCTGCTACACACATGCACATACTGTATTCATTCACATACAACCAAAAATGTCCAAAAATTTGAGAAAACATCAAAAGAATAACCACATATAGCTCTGATATCAGAGTCAGCATTTAATTTTAGTTTATTATTGTTATCTATAATTAATTGCTGTTTCTCTTTTGTAAATCAATTACATCATGCATCAATGTAAATATAATTTTTTAAGTTGTGTTAATTAGCAAAAATCACCAATTTCATTGTGTATACTTTAAATGGTGAACAAAAGGTGAACTTGACACAGTTCCTTTTTAAGGTGAATTATATCATGGCAGAAACATGGATGATGTCATATGAGACTTGTGGGTGCATGTCCTCTGCTGCGTTGTCTCTGTGTGTGTATGATTCATACTCATAGACGTAGGAGTCAGCTAAGGCTGGAGTTTGATGTGACATCATTACCACTTCCTGTTTTGTGGTGTTGCTGAGGAAACAGCTACTAGCATTCTAAGTTAGAGCAGGCAAATGAATTACACTCTCTCTTTCTCTCCCTCTCACTTGTTCTGCCTTTTTCTTTCACTCTTTCCTTATAGTGCTTACCACAAAAGGACCACACTGTTCTGAACATTAGACACACCCCTTAGTTTTACGATAATCGGAATGTATCCACATTCTGTCATATATGTGAAATCATGACATCTGTTTTCAGTAGTTTAACACAATATGGTTAGACACTACGTTAAACTTTGATAACCTGTCGCAGGTGAATTCATCAAGATATCTATTTTTCTGAGTGTGAAAAGCTTAAAAATCTTGTCTTGGTATGACAGCTGGCGTCATACTTTGTGGCCTTAGATTTTTGTTTATGAAGCATTCCGGCAGCCATTTTGACTATAGCATAAGTCAGAGTCATTTATTCACTAGAATCATTTCCTCAGAAAACACAAACAGTCTTTATCCATTGTCTTGATTCTGCAAGTGAACTGAAATCCAAACACTAACATTATCATCACACCGACCAAAATGTATTTGTATGTTTATTAGGTTCTTAAAAGTGTAGCTGATGCATTTTCAAATATCAAAATTTTAGACTGCCTGAAAATGACAATATGTGTAAATAGTCACATGATAAGAGTTGTTTCATTTTAGTTTACCCTTCTAAAAGTTGACATCTGTGTCAAAGCTCTATAAAACATGTATTCATACAACTAGCCTACCATGTTTTGGATATATAATTATTTTGGAATTATTATTATATAAGATATATTATTGTTTTTTTTAACAGAACCCCAGAGCCCAGTTTTGAATAAATACTCGTCTGATTCACATTACAAAATCTCATTGAAAAGAAAGAAAAGAAAGCATGCAGTTTATATCGTTGACCACCAGAAAAACAAACATATGGCTGGCAACAGTTTGTAATTTAACGTTTTCAACCAAAGGCTAACACGCTTATACATGCCCCTTTACTCTCTTCCCTCTATCATCACACGCCCTTCGCTAATCGGGACCGTCCCGCGCACCGCTCCAGACAGCTGTTGGCGCAGCACGCACCGAGCGAAGCACCTCCCTCTTCTCTTTTTCCCCCCAACGCGCCAATGTCCGCATCATACGCCCGCTACATCCTCCGGTGGGCGGGTGCGCGCGGTCTGAAACCCCTCCTCTTTTTAAAAAGCGGACTGCAATGATTTAGAAGTTCAGGAATCCCACGTGACGTCACCGCGAGGTGATGTAATGCTTCTGTAAATAGATCATATTGTAATCGCGTTTCACTTCAGCGTGCTTCGTCCCAGCGCGAGGAGCGTTGCTAATCTCAGTCTGCGTGCGTTTAGGTAAGTTAGTATTACTATTTTACACTCGCTTGTGAATATCATTTTACACTTAGTTCAAAACACAAACGTAACGCGTGTCTTGCACAGTGTTGTTGGGATTTTTGTTGCTGTTGTTCTTGATTTACTGTCAAGTTGGTATCTGTCAAAGTGCCGGTTTCCATTAAAATGTTGGTAAACTGTTTAACTGTTTGTGACACCACCAAACAATCAGACAAATTGAGTATTAGAATAGAAAATGTTTTGACTCTTTGTAAAATGGATGTTTGTAATTTTTAGTTATGTCACTTGTCAACTACGCGTTTAGGTGAATGGTTGTTTGACAGTTGGCGGTTCAAAGCCTATTTGAATGTAACATTTTTAAATGTTAACTTATATAGCACACGTGCGCGTGATTTGAATGAGTAAGTTAAATATTCGCATTTGCTTTGGTTTTATTATTATTATTATTATTATTATTATTATTATTATTATACACCCTGTATGACATCTGCCGTCACGCATAATCCAAAGTGACTCAGACAACTTTACGATGTTTTTTCTTTCCTAAAATGACACATTATTGCCCCTGGGCAGGATGTTTGGGTTTGTAAAATTCGTGACACCGCGTGAGTCCTCCGGTTTCGCCATTACGTCATTCTGCAGGCCGGTTAGACGATTGGCATTGGCACCGTAGACCCGTCTTGCCAATTCAGACTCTCGCCCCCGCTGAACTAAATGATGTTGTCATGACTAGAGGAATGCTCACGTTATGAGTGACCGGGCAAGTAGGGTCTTTTTATAAGGCGCGACTATGATGTAATACGTATCATATACAGAGAACACGTAGAGAAGAGAACTCAAACAGGGAAATGTGAGCAAAATATAGAGCACTGAGAGGAATTCAAATAGTTCATCCATTTTTAAAACTATGTTTCACTAATTTATAGGTCTTATATATTTAATATATGTTTATAAATATATTTAATATATATTTATATCTGATTTATAGATCGCTGTCATAGATCTGTCTGTCTGTCTGTCTATCTATATCTATCATGTTTTATTTTCATAAAGTCTGTTGTATCTCTATATGGATGGACCGAAAGGTAGATAGACAGCTAGATAGATAGACAGACAGATAGATAGATAGATAGATAGACAGATAGATAGATAGATAGATAGATAGATAGATAGATAGATGATAGATAGAACCAAGAGACTGAAAAATTTAAATAATTCATCCATATTTGGCACTATATTGCGTATAGGTGTTATTTATATCTGTCTGTCTGTCTAATTGTCATGAGCACTTTTTAATGTCATCTCCCTTGTGTGCATGTGTTTGTGTGTGTGTGTGCATGTGTGTGTATATGTATGTTTAGGTTTTTAGATCTCAGTGATGAATGTTGATCAGGACAGGCCATATGTATGCACTGCTCCTGGATGCTCACAGGTAAGTAACAGATGTCCAGTTTGCTGATGTTTGTCATATCATTCAGAGCTACAACTGTGTGTTTTATGTATGCTGTCACAAGTTTTACCCATCAGTTACATTGTTAAATTGAATCACATTTCACAATGAATTACTATTAAAAAATTATGATTCATATTGGAACAACTATGTATCCTTTATGTAATTCAGCATTGTCACGGCCTCCCATGTTTCTTGTTCTTGTAGCGCTTCCAAAGAGAAGATCACCTAATTATTCACAGACACAAACATGAGATGACCCTTACATTCCCTTCTATTAAGTGTGACAGTATGCTTTCAGGTAAGGGTGTGTTTATAAAAAAACACACATAATTAACCACTCATATCAAAGGCTAATGTTTTATTATCAATGCAGTTTTAATATCTTCTATGCAGCTAAAGAGTTTCAATCTACAGCTCGTAGGTCAGTAATATAAGAGCCTGTGAAAAGCGAATGTGTGTCATGATGGGTCATTCTCTCTATCTCATTTAATTTAGGATTTAGACAATGTCTGTTACCATGGAAACCCAGTGTCTGACATATAAACATCAGCCTGATCCTTGACCTCTGGGGTCTGTGAGCCATCATTGCAGCGACAGAAACATTTACATAAAAAACAAAAGAAGGACTTTACCTTCTGACCCCTTTTATAGTAGCCTAGAAAAACCAGTTTAGTTTAGACTACCCCTAAATTACCAAAACAACAAGAGCAAAATCAGGCTCATGTTTATGACATAGGGTTAATTTTTTACATTTTTGAGCATGCCAGTAGATTACTTCAGACAAGTTCCGCTCATGACATTGAAAAGAGGGCTAGTTTCTCTACGTTTGTTTGGAATGCCTGGAGGTTACTGGATATTGGTCTACTGATTTAAAGTTTTTGTTCCTTGACCTTGAGAAATTTCCTATGCCTTCTCAGTTTACATGTGTTTAGTCTATGTTCTATAGATAGATAGATAGATAGATAGAAACACATTTGCTTAAGCTTTAATCAATTTATTTTTTAATTGTCTACTAAACTATTTTAGTAACTTTAGTAACTTTAACCAATGTTTTTTCTAGCACTTTATTTAAAAAAATCAGATGTTCCAAATATGCATAGATAAATCTAATATTAATCAATACATTATTTATAATAACATATATAGTATATTTATAATATAATATATAAAATAATTAATACAATATTACAATTACTAATATATGCTGTCCTACTGACTGTATCATCTTATTTATGTATTCTTCTATTTTTTCATATTTGTTTTTAAAATATAAACAACTTTTTATTTTTGTTATATTTTTTCAATTTTTATATTTTATACACCTGTTATGATTATTTTATTATATTTTATGGTTATTTTTATGTAAAGTACTTTGAATTACCCGTGTGTATGAAATGTGCCTTAATTAATAAAAATCTCCATTGTATTTTTACTATATATATTGCCAGTGGCATTTTGTGTGTGGAATCTGATGATGCTGTTTGCATTTGTGATAAACATGTACAGGTGCATCTCAATAAATTAGAATGTCGTGGAAAAGTTCATTTATTTCAGTAATTCAACTTACCATATATCATTACCAAAATACCCCATATTCAGCATTAACATCTCAGCATTACATCTTTATACAGAATTACAGAATTTGGCAGTTTAAAGATGTAAAAATACTGCAAATTAATGTTTACCATAAATTATTATATACTTTTTTCACATTTCGTTAAAGGAACTCATGTCCTACACTACTAGCAGCCCTGTGTAAACTTTCTAAACTTTATTCTTTTGGTCACTGCTAATGAGAATCCCTCTGACATTACAGATCTGCACCCAGTTGTCTGCACAGCAGACTGACAAATGCGTTGCCTGGGACATCATCTATGAATGTAAGTAAACCTGAAAGCATTTCAAACCCAATCACCACAGTAAAATATTAATCAAAATAATGCCTCTGTTTCTTATTACATCATCATAATAATTTCATATGTTATTAAAATGACAGATGGAGGCGCAGTTGTCAATGAACTGTAGTATGATTGGCATACCAGGCCCCGCCCCCTCTGGCTCATGCTCCTCCCTTCAGGTACAGCCCCATACTAATTATTTGACGCCATGGTTACAGGATTGTGATGTCTCTATAGAAACATTACAAGTCAGACAGAGGTTATAATGCCACAGTGCTTTGTAACTAATGTAGACATCTTGATTGAGTTATCTAATTCAGAAACACACAGCGTTACCTGTTAAAAAAGTGGCATTCATGCATACACACACACTCTCATGCACTGATTCTTTTCAGAAAGCAGAGGGGATTGAATTTCAAAGGCTTCGACTTGACCTGGTTATCATCTGACTTTGGCGTCATTGTAGATTCTCTGTGTTTTGAAAAACGTAAAAGTGCCAAGTAATCTTACCATCACAAACAATCCCCATGCACAGGAAACCTTAGATGTAGAAATTAAAAACACATGGTTGCCAGTAAAAGTTGGTAAAGCAAATCTTGCTTCGGGCAGTTCCCTTTTAAAAAGCATGAATTATCCACAGTGTTACATGACATTGATGTTGACAGTGACCCCAGGAGCCATTCTGACCCATCTCTCCCCATCTGTAATCCTTCAGAGGTCAAAGGTCATACCAGCTCACAGTCAACCTGCGGTTTCCAATGGCAGTCAGAATCCGCTTTGCCACATGATGGAGATGATGTCATCACATCAGCACCCACTGTCCCATTTACAATCCGCATCTCATCATCATGCATACCAGCAGCACTGCCACAGCCAATCACCACAAAGACTCGTACATCAACATCAAAGCCAAGACCAATCACATCACAGCCACGCTCACCACTCTCCACCAGCTCATTTGCATCCTGGCTCCACCCATCAGACCACCCCTCCCCTTTCACATCAGACAATACCTACACAGGTCTAGGTCAAACTCTAATTTTTTACAGATTTTAATTAATCTATTGTAATATTCAATATAATATTTGTGTTTTACAGATGTCGTCCACACCGAAACAGACCCCCTGCCCGCAATCTCCTCCACAGCTGTCCACAGGCAGACGCCGACGGACATCAGAGGAAGGCCCAGATGAGCGCAGAGAGAAGTTTCTGGAGAGAAACAGAGCTGCTGCGACACGGTGCAGACAGAAGAGAAAGGTCTGGGTGATGTCGTTGGAGAGGAAGGCTGAGGAACTTACACACACTAACTTACAGCTGCAGGTACATTTACACATGCATAATTTGTGCAGATACCTACCTAGCAGTATTAAATACAACTGAAAATTCATGGTAGATTCATGCGTTTGCTGCTTTGTTTATATATATATTTTGTCTTCTCATAGAATGAGGTGACATCACTCAGGACAGAAGTCTCTCAACTGAAGCAAATACTTCTTTCACATAAAGACTGTCCTGTATCTGTGAGACAGAGAGAAACACAGAGTAAGTATGAATCATTTTCTCATTCTCTCCTGCTTTCTCACAAATACTAGTGTATATGTTTGAATTTCATTAAAACATATGAAGAACATATCTGAGTCAAATTTCACCCCAAAATAATAATTAAAAATTATATATTGTTTAAAAATAATGCATTTTTGGCCACTATGATTTTTCACACTTTAACAATTATTTCCAAAGAAAAACGTAAATTGAAAATAAATTAATTAATTAAATTGTAAATTATTCATACATCATGATAGTATAATCTAAATGAAAATAATTGTACTACAGCCATTAAAAAAAAAAACAAGAATAAAGTAATGAAAATCTTTAGAGAACACCATTAAGAATAAGAATTAAATAAAAATGGCATTTAAACTTTTTTTAATATTAATTAAAGAATATAAAGTCTGGACACATTACAGTAATAAAACATTTTAAGAGAAGATATATGCTTTAATATTTGCTATTAAATATTTTAGATTTTCTTACACTACTGTTGACTGGAAAGAACTTATTTTCAGCAAGGATGCATTAAACACTGATCAAAACTGACAATGAAGACTTACACACAAAACAGTGTAACTAAACAGGTACAACGTTTCTACAAAAACATTGATAATAAGAAGTAATGTTTCTTGAGCACCAAATGAGCATATTGAATGATTTCTGAAGAATTATGTGACAGTGAAGGCTGGAGCAATGGCTTCACAAAAATAAATTACAGGATTTTAAAATACAAAAATGGACAAGACTTTTTTTTTTAAAAACAGACGAGACTAGACAAAGAACCAGGGCAAACACAGGGGTTTAAATACGTGGGTTAACTAGGCTAACAAGGGGGTGGAGCTAATTAATTGTCATGGCAACTTATAGGGGTAACTATGGAAACAAGCAAGGCAGACAAAGGAACAAACAGTGACAGCAGTGACCAAAACAGAGCCCCCACCCCCCTTTAAGGAGCGGATTCCAGATGCTCTAAAACAAAATCAAGAGTCCATGAGGTGGATCGGGGGAGGGCTAGAGGGCCCAGGAAGAGGGCCTGGAGACAGAGGTGGACCAGAGAGCCAAGGTGGAGCCGGAGGAGCTGGTGACCAAAGCAGAAACGGCAGAGTAGGCCAAGCAGGAGGCCAGGACTGAGCCGGGCAGAGCAGCAGGCACCAAAGATCCCCATGGCGGAGCAGAAGACCATCACAGCAGAGCAGACGGTACCGGAGATCCCCACGGCGGAGCAGAAGACCAAGGCGGAGCTGAAAATCACCAGTGCAGAGCTGAAGACCCCCAGGGCAGAGCTGACAGAGCTGGGGACCACCAAAGCAGAGCTGATGGAACTGGGGACCCCTTCAGCAAAGCAGGCAGAGCCGAGGACCACCATGGCGGTTCAGGCGGAAAAGCTGGTGCCAACACAAGACTGAGCTCTGGAGCTTGAGTGGTCTCTGGAGCAGATGCCACTGCCTCGGGGGATTCTGCAGCAGTCACCACCACCTCAGAGGAAGTGTGTATAGCAAAGACACACAAAATGGTGACCGCCATTACTGGAAGTGCAGCAGATCGTGGAAGAACCTCTGAGATTGCCAGGCTTGAGAGCACTGAGACTCAAGAGTGGCGGCCGCCAAACTAGCATGTGTTGAGAATCTTGGACTAGGAAGTGCGGTGAGGTACCGGGCTTGCAACCACCAGACTTGGCACCGTAATCCATGGTGGACTGTGCTCTGTGGCCATCGGAGCTCGAGGCACATGAAAAAATTGTTTACGGGTTGGGTCCTCCTCAACCCCCACCATGAAGGGGGAACCACTTAACAGAAGAGCATAGTCCATATATTGTTCTAAGGTAAAGTCATTTACCCCTTTGGGCATGAGTGATTTTATAGGTTCAATAAAGCCATGGCAGTAGTCTTTCAAAATGGCATCTTTCCAATTTATACAATTAGCAAGGGCACAGAACTGAACAGTGTAACAGAATTTCCTCTGCTGGATCCGTGTTTTGGCTAGTCTTCTGTTATGCTTGGTGGAATTCAAGGATGAAGGCAAGAAGATTCAAATGTAGAAAAGGTTTTTTGAAGGAACTAATAGGAACCAGGACGACAGAAACCATGACCAGGAGGGAACCAACACATAACAGCCAAAAAAACAGACAAGACTAGACAAAGAACGAGGGCAAACACAGGGGTTTAAATACACAGGTTAACAAAGCTAACAAGGGGGTGGAGCTAATGAATTGTCATGACAACTAATAGGGGTAACTATGGAAACAAACAAGGCAGGAAAAGGAACAAGGGGGTCATGAACTAAACACAGGAAACACTTTGAAATAAAAGTCCTTGAACACAAAATAGAGAAGCACAAGACAGTGATCATAACTGAATAGAAAACAGTTGTTTTAAGTTTGAATACTATTTCATAATGTTACTGTCTTATGGTATTTCGATCAAATAAATGCAGCTTTGGTGAAGAAAAAAAAAACTAAAAAAAAAATCATATTTATGTTTAGGTGGAGTAGGTAGTCTAACAGGAAGTCCTGTCCAGCAACATGCAATCCAACACAACAGCATCTCAACATCAAGTTCGGCTCTACCACACACTCACCTCACCCCACACTCACACTCCACTAACAACACACAACTATAACATGCTTCAACATGGACAGAAACTAATGAGAATACAAAATACGACCCTTCTTTAGAGCCATATGGTCAGGGCACCTGTGACCAAACAGGTACCCATCAGTGCAAAAGCAAAGCTTAACAGCAAAATGTTTAATCCAGAGTTTTAAACTTGGATTTATGACTAAAATGGAATGTATGCATCACATACATGTCTGAAATGTTTAATTACTCTCAAGCATAGAATAATTAAATTAAAAGTCTGTTTATACTTCTGGCCCTTGACATCTCAGGTAATCAGCCGAGGGTGAAATTGATGTTTCCAGTGGTTTTATTTTCACCTCACTGTGATTCATTACCGTGTTGGAAAACAAACTGTCCTTTTACCCTCACCAAATTTGTTTTCTTATTCTCAAATCTGTCTTTCACCCTCTTCATACCTCTCTTTCTGTTATCTCACACTCTTCCTCGTGCTTGTTTATAGCTGATCTTTCTCAGGGACACTCATCTAGTTTTACTCCTAGAGTATGTGTGCACATTTGTGTGTATATGTGTGTTTTGTTTCTGGCCACTTTCAGTGTAAATGCTTTGATAGCTTCAGTGACAGCTGTGTGCACTAAATCCTGAAACTAATGGCAAGGCTGTGTGAAATGCATTGAATCAGGGCAGTTGTAAATGTGTAATTGTAAATAGGAATCTCTAGTTTTATAAATTCATGATGATGCAGCTAAAGCTGATTGTTTCATGTTTGTCTTCATTTTATAAAGACAGAGCCAACATCAGAATCATGTGTAGGAATGATAATAAAGGAATCATGTCGCACTCATGTCACTCTGAATGTCTGTATTCTCCTAAAACAATTCAGCATCGCAATCATTTCATACTAACTGGCTCGGTGACAATCAAAATGTCAGTACTGACATTTTCTGGAAATTACATGCAAGCATGTGTACCATCTCTGATTTAAAAAAATGCTTATATGGCTATACATTCTGTGTAATACGGAATTCTGAATCTAGACGTGGAAAAAAATAATGTTTGTAAACTCTGCAGGTTTAAACAGTTTTATGCATGTAAAGTTTTTTTTTTATATATTTATCTATTTTTGTACACATTTGTGGCCATTTTTAATTAAAAGCACTTAATATCTGTATCCATATGCTCTGATCTCTTTTTTCACCATGCTAATTACTTAATAATGCTGGGATACAACTGCTGCCTTTAGTGTATTATATTTTTTGCTGGATTATTTTCAGGATTGACTGCATGTACTACAAGGTGATAGTTTAAATAAATGACTCCTGAATTGTGGCTATACAATGTTGCAGTTCAAGTCTTGTGAAAACTTGGTTTATTGCGCCATCTTATGGTTAGATTCATGTATTCATTTGGTATAGACCTTAGGGTAGCCCCAATTTTTGAAGATGGTCCTCACTGCAGAACACAAGATCCAGGGGGCGTGGTTGGATCCAGATCCAACTCCTCCCACCTTACATATACCTAAACCTACCCGTCTCCACCCCGATCCCTAAACCCACCCATCTCCACCCCCTAGATGTGGATCCAACCACGCCTCCTGGATCTTGTGTTCTGCAGTGAGGGGCTACTGAATTTTTGACAGGAATGAAAACTAGGCTGTGAGTGATAGAAGTAGAGTGCATTCAATGGATTGTACTGTTGTTTATCAACAGTTCTGGGTAGATTACTTATAAACTGTAGTCCATTACTGATTACAAATGACATGAAGGAAACTGTAGTTAGTAACATTATCTGGATTACACAAATTAGGTAATGTAGTCTGACTATTTTTGTTTACTTTTAGATTACTTTGAACTCGTTTATCACATGAATGTGACTTGAATGTGATTATTGTGTACCATATTGATTATATACATTATTATTAGTAGTATTATTATTATCAATACAAAGAAAATATCACTACAGCAGCATTTTCCAGACTGGGGTTTGTAAAGTTTAAAAAAAAAAAACTCTAGGGTTTTCATGAAAAGCTAATAATTAATGGAATCATAAAAATGTCAAAACCTTGGGAATCTCTACATTACATGACCAAACATTAATAAACATGATATTACATGGCCAAAGTCTTTCAGGTTTGAAATCTTTTTTTCCAGACTTCCAATATTAAAAATTAGTGAAGGTCACTGGATATGATGAAGACATAGTATTTCACAGCTATGCATCAGCAGTGTTTAGTAACTTGAATAATTATTAGGTTCATGTTTGCAAGTGGTAGGTTCATTTAGAAAGGATCATTTAAAAGGAAAAAAAGAACTGGGGTGAATCAATAAATTATAAATAAATTACTGCCATTGTGTGAATAATATGTAATCATGTAATCAATAAAAAGGTAACTATAATCTGATTATGAGCATTTTAAAATGTGATATTAAACGTCTAATTAAAAGTAATTTTTGGAATCTGATTGCGTAATCCATATTACAAGTACTCAGTTACTACCCAGCACTGTTTATCAACATAGCAAATGTCTTTCTGGGGGTAAAAAAACTCTCCCTTACAGCCTTGTCTTCTTCTCATTAAATTCAATATGGCGTCTAAACCTGACTAAGGTTTATTGTAGAATTTTGAATGTCGGAATTGAATTAATTATAAAGGGAAAAAACATGGAAACCATTACACAATTACTAATACAGACTACATATTTATTACAAAAAAAAAACAATAATGAAAGTGAAACATATAAAATGTATCAAAATACTTTTCCTGTAGAACAAGAAAAGAAAAAGAATGGCAGTTTCAGTGGTTACTCATTTGTGGCCAAAATGATTTTGCCAAAATTGTCTATTATTTTCACACACACAATACTCAGTCGGAGTATCTAAGCATTATGACATCATCATCTCTTTGTGCATGGCTGTTGTCAAAGAAACGGTCACCAGGGAACTGGATGAGGTCACCTTCTTCAGCCAGTTGTCTGCCACTCTGGTAACCACTGAATTCAGAAGAGACACATGTAGTGGCCACGGTAGAGCGAAATGGATGTCTGGTTGAGTACATGTGACGTACATGTGCATGAGTGGACGACTTCCTGCTTCTGATCCGCCTCTTCAACACATGCCCTAGCCAGACTCCGCCCACCAGAAGGAGGAGCAGTGCATTGGCCGCCAGGGCTGCTACTGTGACAAGCTGTAGGTTGACTTCACTTGTCACCGAGGGCAAAGGTGTGACAAATCCAGTGCAGTGATCTCTGGGGGCAACCTGACACAAAGCTCCACCCACAACGCTCTCCACACAGGTGATGTAGGTGGAGTCTGGGCGGAGCTCTTGAAGGGTCACCGCCTGGTCGGATCCATCTGTGTAAACGTAGCGTGGGAAGCGGAAAGCATGGCCGAAACGGTCAAATAAAACCCGAAAGAGAAGTTCTTTCCCATGAACCAGTCCAACGTCGGGAGTTGTGCTCCAGTGGACTGTGGCTGTACTGGAAGTGACATCTTCCACGCTTACATTCAGGATGGAGTGATGGTTGAATTGACATGCATTAGTGATCACTTCAATTCTTGAGTCATGATGCTTGGCTCTGTCTTGTAAGGGCAGGTTGAACTGCTCCTGTGGGGCCCAAGCAAAGGTGCTGTGGTTGTGGCCTGTCAAGAACGTGGCCATTGTTGTTGAAAAATCAGATAAGGAGCCATTCCCTGTTTTCCCAGCTGTGGGTCTTGGCCTTGAGCTGACCAGTTTCCGCTTCTTCTTTCTTTCTAATGTTGTCACAAGCCCTTGCTCCCCCTCATCCCCTTGGACACCTACATCTCCATGTTTTTCACCTTCTCGCTTCTCTCTTTCCTCCTTGAGAGCCGGTGACTCCACTACAGCTCCTCTGCTCTCCATTGGCTGATGTTCTGACTCGCAATGACCACTCATATTTCCCAACTGGGAGTTGCTGACATAGTCCAAGTATTTTCCCGCCAGCACTGGGGGGTGAAGGCAGCGCACAAACACGGTCAACAGCTTTCCCTGAGAATGCGCATGCGTCATCCATCTTTTAAGCTTCTCCATCCGGCAGTCGCAAATCCAGTTATTCCCATTCAGTTCTACGTGAAACAAAACGCCGTTCGTGGCGAAAATTCCACCGGAGAGATTCATAAGACGGTTGTTTTTCAATTTTAAAATGTTTAGGTGTGAAAGGTGGTCAAAAGCACCGGGGTCCACGCGAGATATGTGGTTGTCACTGAAGTCGAGGTGTTCGATGCGCTCGAGCGGGTCTAGTAGACCAGCCGGGATCCCTGTGAGCTCGTTCCTGTCAATCTTGAACTCTTTCACGCGCGCGAGCCCCTTCAGCGCTTCGTTGTCCAGCTTTGATATCTTGTTGTGACTCAGAGAAATTTTTGCTAACTTTTTCAGGTTCTGAAAGACGTGATTTCCGATGTGCCTTATTTGGTTGCCTGCGATTAGAAGAGTTGTTAGTGACTTAAGATGGGAAAACATGAAAATATCGCGCAGTTCTGTTTGTTTATTATCTGATAGGTTTAAAAACTGCAGTTTGCTGAGCCGCGCGAACGCATTGCGGTCAATATGGCGAAGCTGGTTCGATTCTAAGTGCAGACACATTAAGTTTGTCAGTCCTTTGAAGACGGATTCTTTTAAAAACTCAATTAAATTTCCATCAAGTCTCAGTTTGACTAAACTATTTAAATGACTAAAAGGTTCGGAAATAAAGTCTTTGATATCGTTGTTATTGCTATATAATATTGTGAGTTTTTTCAACGACTGTAGAGTCCCAGGTTGTACTGTCGAGATTAAGTTGTTGCCCAGATATAGCTCCTCCAGCATGGAGAGTTTCTCGAATGCTTTAGGATGTATATTCCTTATTTGGTTAAACTGGAGATTTAGCCTGATTAGGTTCCCATAGCGCATGAAGTCGAACGCGCTAAGGTTGTGAATGAAGTTTCCCGCGAGACCGAAAACCCGCACATCTTTTGCGTGGTCCACCTGCGGCGCTTTGGGCACCGCGCGCAGACCACGGTTTGCGCAGAGGATATGCTGTACGTGCTGGCACTCGCATCTCTCGGGGCAAATGGCCCAACTAGACGTGAAGAATAAAAGCGCTCCACTGCCGAACAAAAAAAAGTTATAGAGCAAATATGCCATTCCAGTGATGAGCAAATAACAAACTACTCAATACATTCCTTTGTTTCAGTCCAGGTTCGCCAAGGTCTTCCTCGCCAGGTATTGAAGCTTTACAGATGCATTGCCGCCCGGGTACAGGCATTTAGATGACCTATAAGACGAATGCATAGTGAATTTTATCTGCATTGATATGTCCATGCACAACCGTTGCGAGCTGATGTGGCTCCAGCCGAGGAAACATTTGCCTCCGTCAGACCCTCTCATCCCCCAAGAAGTCATCTGTTGCAGATTACACACACACACACACACCATAGTCATCTTCGAGTTCAGGCACGGATCGGCCCGCCCCACTCCCTTCCAGATTTGGACATTAAACGACATATAGCCTACACACTCGTGTAGCTTATATGAATGAATAAAAAAAAAAAACATGGTTACTACAGTCGTGACGTGACATGTGGCCAAGTATGGTGACCCATACTCGGAATACTCGGAATGCATTTACCCATCTAAAGTGCACACACACAGCAGTGAACACACACACACCGTGAACACACACCCGGAGCAGTGGGCAGCCATTTATGCTGCGGCGCCCGGGGACCAGCTGGGGGTTCGGTGCCTTGCTCAAGGGCATTGAAGGTGGGAGAGAGCGCTGTACATTCACTCCCCCCACCTACAATCCCTGCCGGTACGAGATTCGAACC